CGGCCACGGTGGGATTCGAACCTACGACCTTTGGAATACCAGCCCAATGCTCTTCCAACTGAGCTACGCGGTCAGGACGGTTCGAGTAAGTGATATTTCGGAACAGTATCTAGTTCCTTCAATACCAAGGTGTATTGAAGGAACTAGATACTGTTCCGAAATATCACTTACTCGAACCGTCCTGACCGCGTAGCTCAGTTGGAAGAGCATTGGGCTGGTATTCCAAAGGTCGTAGGTTCGAATCTTCAACCTTGGCCGGGCATATTTTTCAAGCTCGCCCGGTGTGGATATGCACTCAGAGTAACATCACAAACATATTATTCACCTGAGTACACAACACCAGCACAGAAAAAAATTCATATTACAAGAACACCTTGGTATTGAAGGAACTAGATACTGTTCCGAAATATCACTTACTCGAACCGTCCTGACCGCGTAGCTCAGTTGGAAGAGCATTGGGCTGGTATTCCAAAGGTCGTAGGTTCGAATCTTCAACCTTTGCTCTAACACTACATATGATGACAGCTTTATAGTTGGACTGTTGTTTTGAACAGTTACGGGTCAATATACAGAAATACAGGACCAGTATTTAATTCAATATCTCCTGAGAATGTTTTCACTGTTTAAAATATTACAGAAGTCACAGAAGGATTGTTTTTAATACTGTATAAATCTTTTTGTGAACTATGTTGACAAATGGCTTAAAATATTCTCGAAAATATATCCAATATTTTATACAGTGTAATATATTAATAAAAAATTCCAGAGTTCATTCCATGTAAACTCTACGCCGAATATACGGCAATATTAACTATAGATAGTATAGTAAATATTTGCCGAACTGGCGAACTCATATAAAATATGTGGGACATATATTTGCACAAATTTGGTATTTAAATATATAATATGTGGTATTAGACTACTTACCAGATGAGGATAAGATTCCATGTTGATAAATAACTTCGGAATAATATCGCAAGTAGAATATGGCGAGAAAAAAAGACAAGCCAATTCAAGATAAATTGATAAAAATATCAAGATATTTTTGAAAGAATATAAACACGATATTTGCTGTGTTGGTGTGATGTACTCAGGTGAATAAGATGCTTGTGTGATGTTGGGCTAGTATTCCAAAAGTCGTAGGTTCGAATCCCACCGTGGCCAGGCATATTTTTCAAGCCTGCCCGGTGTGGATATACACTCAGAGTAACATCACACAAGCATCTTATTCACCTGAGTACATTACACCAACACAGCAAATATCATGATTAATAGATTATACTGATATCGAAGGAACTAGACTCCGAAATATCGCATTCTCGAACCGACCTGACCGCGTAGCTCAGTTGGCAGAGCATTGGGCTAGTATTCCAAAGGTCGTAGGTTCGAATCCCACCGTGGCCAGGCATATTTTTCAAGCCTGCCCGGTGTGGAAATATAAACACGATTTATACACGAGGCCTGACAAGGCTAAAGTAGCCCGTTCGCAGGTTAGATGCGGGCACGATGTAAACAATTGATGTAAACGAATCGCTGATTGGCTTAAATTGGCTTAAATTATATAAGCTCGTCGCTGAATGGCTATGTGTTAACATACGGTAACATTAACGGCACGTTTGCGATAGCAATATATCTGCTTCGCAGATACAAATAGGTACGCGACGCGTACATGTATCTGCGAAAAAACTTGATTCACATTTTGTATTTTCTTGAAAGAAACTGAATAATGAAGATGACATGGGACAATTGAAATATTTCATCACTTATTATAATAGCAGATAAGATTTAAAACAGGGCTGTACACAGCGGGGAGTACAACAGGGCAAGTGCTCCCCACCCCCGCACCGAGAAAATTTAACTAACTTTATAATATGATTATGATTGTAACAGATAATTATGCAGTCAGGAAATAAAAATTTCATGCAAACAATATTCAAAGTGTCTATACAGCCGGCTATTTAGTAAACTGTCACCTGTCAATTCAATCCATACTCAAATTTTCAAAACTTTATTGTAATCATATGAAGCAAAAGTTCTGTCACTTGTTGTTTACACTTGCCAATGTTAACTGTTGACTAACATACACAAACTATTTGAGGAACATGCATTACTGTAGCAAAGAGGTCAGTCATACTATATCGAAGACCACTGAATAATATAGAATGTTTTGAAGGTCATGAGTGAAGTATTTAATTCAATTCCAGTCCTGTGCACAGTTAATGATATACCGCACTGTTTGGTTTAACACAGCATATCCACACAAAAACAATTTGTGTTGTGAGAGAAAATCTGTTTGAGCAGAGGGTATCACAAGTTTAGTTTTGTACATTGTGTGCCATTGATCAGATCCATCCATATAATATATAATTATTCATTCATTCATTTATTGTAGCTGATAAGTTATTTCCATGCTAATGCATTTAGGTAAGATTGTCTTGCAAGTGGGTTGGTTGTTCAGACAAAATTATCCAGCCAATATCCAGTACATATAATCATCATTCTTGTATCAATCTCTAAACAAAAACATTTATGTCGGAAAGCAAAATGACAATGTAATGAGGCCCAGGAGGGTGGGGATTCTTTTATTACCATTTGAAAATATTTGTAAAAATTTTGTTTAATTATAAACTCTAATGTGTAAAAACCAAAATGTATAAGTATTGTAAACTGATAACATCTTTAACCCACAACACTACATTCAATGACAGCTTAGTTGGACTGTTGTTTTGAACAGAGTTTATACAGAAATACACGACCAGGGTTTAATTCAATATCTCCCAAGACCATTAGTTTCCTTTGATGTTGTTCATTGGCAATATTGCCTGCTATGTTTTGACTGTTTAAAATATTACAGAAGTCACAGAAGGATTGTTTTACTGTATAAATCTTTTTGGGAACTATGTTGACAAATGGCTTAAAATATCCCACGATGTAAACAATTGATGTAAACGAATCGCTGATTGGCTTAAATTGGCTTAAATTATATAAGCTCGTCGCTGAATGGCTATATGTTAACATACGGTAACATCACAGATCCTGTATTGCATCAATATATTTGCAAATAACAGGGATCAGGGATTTGCTACATTTTTAACACGTAATACAACCTGTATGCGAATGTAGCAAAAAAGTTTGGCAGGAAAATATATTATTTTGGAAAATTTCAACCTAAAGCAACGGTATAGGGTTTGGTACACGATCTCTATTCAACCAAATGCACGCAACCATATTGATCCCAAAATTGCACACAACCATATTGATCCTATTATTTTCGTTAATTACTCATACTATTAAAAAGTATCCAAACATAGAAAGATTATTAACCTATTTAAAACAACAAAACACACCAAACGAGCGAGTAACCTACATTTTAAAGCTCAACTGACTATAGAAATGGAGACTATATAAAGGCAAGCATCGCGTCGAGCGAATGACGAAAATTTAAACGAAAGACCATGAATTTTGGAGAAAATTAAACTGTAATAAAACTAGTCCCCTTACCTGCGTAGAATTAACACGAATTCTGAGAGATCGAACAACATGGCCAGAAATGTTGGACATTGCTACTGAGCATGCTCGGAAAATTCACAAAAACATGGCCGCCAGTTTTGTATAGAAATGATAGCATTGTGAAGAAAAATCTTAAAGTAAAGCTATTTGTATCTGCTATTACAAAGTTGCAGACTCCGGATTCGCTTTGCTAGAGCCGTCGTGTTTATATTCCATAATTATTTCATGCATATCTTACCTTTAAGATGTTCCATTTTAAAATCGATTCCAGCGAAATTTTCACTAGTAGAAAGTATATTATTTAGTTTAAATTTGCCCATTTGGCGGTGTTTTCGCGTCTCCGGCTAGATTTCTCTTGTTCTTTGCAACATTTGCAGACTCTCCATCGTAAAGAACATACACACTGCTACATTCTCTAGAACTTTCGTGGAGATGCACTTTCGTTTACATGTTCCAAATTTGTCATGAAAATCGCAAATATCTGAAGCTGTGAAAGCGTAGTTTCATGGCGACAACTTTCACTGTAAACTCATGTTCATCAGATGATCAACGCCGATTTTTAGAACGAACGTTTCCAAACTCGGCCATGTTTGGTATCAAAATGAAGCTTAGGAACCTCTCTATTCGAATTTATAAACAGGGGTGGTTGGACCAATAATCTTAAGCCAAAAATCGCGCTTGCGTTTTACTTCCGGTTCCGCTGATGGCGGGAAATCTGACAGTATGAATATGTAAACACTATGTCTGCCGTTCTGAAAGCATTCAATTTACATAAATTAAAGCAAAAGATTTCTTTCTCAACGAGAACTTGCATTAATCATCCTCGGAAAGCTGTTACTGAAGAGGAAAACATTGTTTTGACTGTCAATATTCCCCACGAGTACCTAGAACAATTGTATGACTTGAAGCAAGATGATGGCAAGTTAACTGGCCTGTCGTACGTCGAAGTTTTAAATGCATTTATATCGCAGAATGCCTTGGAGATAAAGCTAGACTGCGAAAGAATTAATAGTATAATACGTAGATATTGTGGGGAGATAAAAACCAAAAGCAAAAGGTTGCGAGGCCGTGTAAGAACAGAGTACTTGGCGAAATCAAAATGCATTTCTGTTTACGAGAAGGAAATTGCCAGGGTGTCTGAGGCGAAGAATGAGCTAGAAAGTGCAAAGGCAGTTTGTGATACCTAAAGAGACTGAACGAAAGCTGGAATGTGTGACAAAGGGATACCAAGAAGAGTTAAACAAGAATGAAGCACTGAAACAGTACATTGAGAAAATGGGAATCCCAGACAATTGTGAGAATACTGGAAAATGTGTAGCAGATGTGGGAAAAAGGCAACAACATCGGAAAATAAAAGAACTCAAAACACAAGTTGAGAGAACTCTTTGGTTTGCTAATACATATGGACTGCATTTGGAATCTTTAAAATTATCTGACAATTCTGGTGCTGAATATGAATTGGAATTTACAGCCGGTGGAACCAAAAAGAGTTATAAAGATTTACCAGAAGCTGAAAAGCAGAAAATTAAAGAAGTTCTTTTGATCCAGGATAAGTTTTGTGTGGGTGAAGCAGCATACCATGAGCTTACCATGATCCCGGCAGGTCAAACCCTACCTCGGTCGTACCTGGTTAAACAGTGCAAGGATTCCTTGAATCAGTTGTGTCACATCGAGCGAACACCAGGGGAAAATGAAGGTGCCCAGGTCAATTTTTATGATGCACTCAGGAATGCAATCCAAAATCATGTAAGTTAATCGATGAATGACAAATAATGTTTTGCATGTTTGTGTATCATTGCATATATTGCAATATAATGAAGGGGAAATTATTTACCCAGATTTTTTTTACTCTTTTTATAGATGAGAACCTGCACTGCAAATGGTCTAAGTCCTCCCGAGAGATACAACATAAAGTTAAGTGGGGATGGTGCCAAAATGACAAGGCTTACTGGCTTTATAGTCATCTCATTTTCAATTTTGAATTCTGGAGATGCTGTGATGTCTCCAAAAGGTTAGCCTATCCACATCTCATTGCATACCCCTATGATGTTATTGTCCAATTTGTAAAATGGAATTAGACTGCGAACAGTGTATGTACACAGAAATTTCTAAATTTCTGTGTACATAGACTGTTCGCACAGGCTAAGATGGCATTGACCTTCAATGTGCAGTGTCCATCACTGCTGCTTAATTAATCATCTATGCAATAAACTTCTCTTGACAAGTAAAATTGTTTTGAATGAAAAGTCCGAGCGCTGTAGCATAATGGGTCAATTTGACTCTGAGATTTGCTTTAACATTTAAACATAGCCTAGATATTTTACATTCCAGGAAATTACACCCTTGCTATAATAAAGGGAAAGGAGTGCTATGAGACCCTCAAGTCCTCATGTAGCAAAATTTTTAGCGATGTGAACAAAATTGTGGAAGCTGGTGTGCTGCAGCTTGATGATGGAAATGAAGTCCCAATTGACATGTATTTGGGTGGAGACTATAAGGTGCAGTCCTGGTTTTAAGGATTTTGAGAGTAATCAGTTTTACCAATCAATTAATAGAATTTTTTTAATTAACATGTTTTTCATTTCTCCCCTAGTTTCTTTTAATACTCATGGGGATGAAAGGAGCAGTGTCTGATTATGCCTGTATCTGGTGTAAAATCCACAAGATGCTACGGTACAGTACAGAATGAAATATTACAATGAAGAACACACAAATTATTGACAAAACTCATACCAGTGTCACAATCGACCCATATCATTTACCATTATTTGGATTATTTCAACTAATATACAACAATATCCATTATAGGCATGATATGACAAAGCCTCAGGATTTTTATTGGATGATCGACATGAAAAGAACGTTAGAGGACATCAGACAGTGCTGCCTAAAGAAGCAGTTTTCATGTGACCGCCCACCTCTGTTAAATATTCCGCTTGAGAATGTCGTCCTTGATGAGTTGCACTTAATGCTAAGGGTAACAGGTGAATGTACAACCATAATTTAAAAATATACATAAAATTCCACACTCAACAACCGGTTACCCCCTCCCCAACACTTGATCCTGCAACTCTATAAAATAAGCCTACATAAAGATATTTTTTGTTTTTGACAGATAAGCTAACTGACAATTTAATTACTGAAGCGCTCAACAGGGATAAGGCAGACAATCACAACAAAGCACCATGTGATCACACTTCGACACATTTGGACAACTTGGTGAATGCCATTCAGAGCTGTGGCATTTCTTTCAATGTCTGGGAGAAAACCGATGCCAATGGTCGGGCAAGTGGAATCTATGATTTCACTAGTCTTATGGGTACCGATAAGAAACTTTTACTTGAAAAGTTGCCAGCAAAGCTGAATGGTGTCATCACTCCTGCTACATGCAATGAAGTTATAAACCTTTGGAAGGTAATCCAGCAGTATTCCGACAGTATATTTTTTACAACTTTATATGCAGGAACATATAAGTAGGGCTACCCCCTTCCCCACCCCCGGCAAAATTATTAGCCCATCCTGAGAAAATTTGGCTTTAAAAATATATGTTCCTAATTAGGCTTAGTACAGCAAAATTGTAGGGTGAAAACGCAGGAAATAGCATTTCAAGGGTTCAAATTCTAAAATTCTCTGGGGAAACCCACCTCTGGTTTACTTTGGTTCATGCCTCTGATTTACTTTAATATAGGATTTTCATCACATCTACAATGACTGTATCAACATGAAAACACCCACAGATGCAGACGTCGACACATATTTTGTCAAGGTACTATTCATTTACCAAGTGTCTAAACATCCTTTCTGGAAAAATTTTAAATGCCGATTCATTGTGTAGGTAACCGCTTGGGTGACTTTATTCCTATCACTTGGTCAGTCACTAGAAGGATATGGCAAAGTGAACATCACACCATATATACATGCAATGGTTTACCATGTGCCTCGCTTTATGAAACTGCACAATGGAATAAGGCAGTTTTCTGGACAAGGTAAAACAGTATATTTTCTATTATAAACCAGGTTAGGTAATATTTTATCATTCCTTATAGTGAGGTATTTTTATCATGATAAGACTATGTTATCGAAAAAGTATATACAACTATTGGCATTGATGGTTATGTAGGTGTTGAGAAGCTGAATGATAATATAAGAAGAATCCACCTCCAAAAATCTAATAAGTGGGATGCAGCTAAGGATGTTCTAATGGCTGAAGAGCGAAAGAGAATATTAAGCGATCTGGAAAGAGAACCTAGACCATACAAGAAGAAGGCGGATAATTATTGGTTGGATGGAATCAAGGAAAGTCGAAGGAAGCGGCCACGATTGTGTGATGAGGAAGATATTTCAGATGGTCCAGAGGACATCTCTTCACTAACGCCAGAGATTCTTAAGTTGCGATTGAAGGACATGGGTATCACAACTCGCGCTAGAAAGCTAAGCAGGCTGTTAGATATGTACACTGTTGCCTTGCAATCACAACAACACTAATCAGTATCTCTTGTTGTGAATACAATTTAATAATAATTCTACTAACAGTGGCAAAGCCAGCCCTAGCATTTGGTCATGCTATGCAAATTTTGTCATGTTTACATTATTCAAACCTAATAGAAATGTATTGTGTTTATGCTATTTAGTTGCTGATAAATTAACATAGCATGACCAGTTTGCAGTGGTGAAGCCAGCCCTAGCATATAACAATATTTATATTACACATATGCACTTTATAAATTTATAAATTAGAAATATCACATGCTCTCCTTAAAATATGAATACAAATTTTTTCAACAGGTACTCTTGGTGACTTTTGTAGCTTGCCATTGGTGTGCTGGTACCTTAATTTAGACCACGAAACTGTGGATCTTGCTTTGATTGGGAAATCAATAGCTTTGCCTTCTCCAAATTCATTTAGAAGGTAGTACCAATCAGTTGGTAAAGTCTCAAAACGTTTGAAGTCTTCCTTTTGGTACAACGTGTAACCTTTATGCTGTGATGGTATGCCTCTGTTGGACGTTATGAAACGCCACACATCGAGATCCATATTGATGGATGCGGGTGCCATTGACTTTCCTTTCAAGCATGTCTGAATGCCAATTAGAAAATCACGGCTTGCAGTTTCTAGCCTAGCAGTGTCAGGTTTTGGTGGCTTCAAGTAACTCCTATCATACATGACAAATATAAAATAAAACTACATTAATCATTAAACCGGATTCCAATAATCCTACACAAATATCTATAAATTACCAAAAATTCCAAAGTACCCACCTCAAAAGACTTGGGTTCAAATGCTCAGATGGCTCCCAGGAGCAATAGTGGAATGGCCATCCCTTCCATTTCAGAAGATATTCGTGACCCTGTGTGTGGACAAAAGGATGAGTGCTATATCAACTTGTAAAAATTATGCTATAATAGCTTTGTTTACACTCTGGCTAGAGTGCTATCACTGCCATAGACCATAGTATAAAAAAGCAATATATTTCATTTTAAAAATTCAGTTCATGTTTAGCACTTACGTGTCGTATTTTTCTGCGTGTAAGTATTCGTTCAACTTCATGTAGACGACAGCGTTTTCCTTTAGGTACGCCATCATACAAAGTTACTGATGACAATTCGTTCAGCTGTTTATAATCAATAGACAGATTTGAAGAACGCTTTGTATGCTTACGTCCCGACGCCATCTTGTTTTTAACTTTTGTAATTTTGTGCGGATATCCGCGGGCTTTGTGCGGGCGCATGTCTTACATTTCTGGCCATGAAAATTCAGTCCATATTTTTCATAAAAACCATGACAAAACTCACAACCTCAGACAAGTCCGCCATTTGCAATCGCACGGAACGATTCTCGTGCATGCGCAGACAAAATGCACCTATGTTTGTTTCAGTCATGGTTAATATCAGGGTTCCCACGGTCCTTGAAAATCCTGGAAAGTCCTTGAATTTGAACAAAAATTCCAGGCCTGGAAAGTGCTTGAAAACTGATAAGGTCTTTGAAAATCCTGGAAAAGTCCTTGAATTTTATATCAGCCCCGTTTACACAAGCAAATTTATTTGACAAATTTCATACAGACGAGCAAATTTATTTGACAAATGTCATTGTGACAAATGTATTTGATCAAAGCTAACATGCTGGCTTTTGATCAAATAATGCATTTGTGACAATGAATTTGTCACAAATTTATCATCTACACCAGCAAAATATCTTTGACATATGAAATTTGTCAAATAAAATTTGCTCGTGTAAACGGGGCTTAAATAAAAGGTGAGAACCCTGTAATATTTACACCACATGTTGTTATTATACACAGCTGATTCATAAAGAAAATACCAAAACGAACAACATCACATATTATATACGAAACATTTCCAGTGGCAGTGTTACTGTTTTGCGATTACAGAGTCGGAAAAATAACACAAATGATATAATACAATTTATATGGCTACGGCACTATAAACACAGTGTTGTAAACTCAAAATATGCCCCTTTTATCTTCGAAAAAAAAGCGAGTATTCAACCGTTATTTCTTACGATGTAGAATATTGTCTTCAGTAATTTGCACCATGATAAGGAGAAAATCCAGAAGTACTTTAGTATTATATAAATAAACTCGTAGACAGCATAAACCACAACTCGGAACCATAAACATGCGAATACAAGTCGTTTCGCCCCCAAGTCGATTCGCCCCAAGTCGTTTCGCCCCCAAGTCGATTCGCTCCAAGTCGAAACGCCCCCAAGTCGATTCGCCCCAAGTCATTTCGCTCCTAAGTCGATTCGTCTTAATGTTTCGTTGCCAAAGAACTTCAAATGATGGATATATTAAAAATAAAATCAAGAATACACAGACACAAATGTTGTCATTGTCACTGAGTAACTATTTACAAGCTACCGTTACGCGTGCGATTTTTTTCATGAATGTTTACATTTCAAACATTTTATATTATCTGTTTCATTCCATACATACTTGAAGCTAGGATGAGTATAATACCGGAATTGAGTCATTTTTCTATATATAATTTGATATTTTTTCATTTTTAAATTATTATCTTTTATATTCTTTAAAACTAATCACCGCGTTTATTAATACCGACTTTGTCAAACCTTTTCGCGCTTTTGTTTTCGTTTGAAATGTTACGTTTTGTCAGTAATTCTGTCATCTTAATAGTGAATAGGTTTTTGGTTTTTGCGCGTTTACCGTTTGATCCATTTGTCCACAATACTCGCAAATATGGGCTAGTTTGTAAGAGATATTAAATTCACTAGCTAACTTGGGGGCGAAACGACTTCGGGCGAAAAGACACCAAACATGCCACCCTTCAAACAAATTCTAGAGCGATATGTAAGCGTAACAGGCAGCAATTTTGCTACAAATTAATCATAAGACACTCTTCTTTCATAAGAAGCACAAATAATCATGATCGCGTTACGAAAACAGCTCATATTTACAAAATATTTGCTTCGAAATCACATTTCCCATATAACGCCATATTAATTATCGCTCCTTTGGTATCCGGAAGTAAATTTGCACGCTTGCGATTTGGCTTCACTTCAATCTCGTTCCTAATCTCGTCCCCAGAGCAATGCCTGTACGCGGGCTAGGATGGCATTGGCTCTGGGGAAATTGACAACCGGAACCCCTAAATTTAGGGGTTCCGGTTCTTTGTCGGCATGCACGATTGATAAACGTTAAACCAATCACAGCACAGGAAAAATTCAATTTCCCCAGAGCCAATGCCATCCTAGCCCGCGCACAGGCATTGCTCTGGGGACGAGATTGTCTTGTTCCCCGAGTATGCCTGTTCGCGGGTTAGGTAGTGGCATGACTCTGGGGAAATCGAATCGAAATCGTTATTTGATTGGCTGCCGCGATCATCAATATTGCCGACACATTAATGCGTGTTTTTTGCGAGAATTACGCGTGGACATACGCGAAGAGAGAATTATCAATGTTTATCAGATTTGGAATGCGAAATCAAACAATATAAATCGAAGGATATAATATTAATCGTATGAACAAGTATTGGGACGTTGGGTATATACTTACAAAATGGCATGGTATTTATGAACGACGGCGTACAAGTTTCGTGTTTATTCCATGATATTAAACAATGAAAGAATTGGCTAAATGAAATCATCGCACACGTTGTCGTTGTTTTGTTAAATTGATATATTGTTGCCAGGACTTTGGAGTGACAGCTTTTACTTGTGTTAAAGATGCGGTACAGTCCGTTCTGCGCATGTGCACAAAGGAGCCCTCTTTTTATTTACAAACAGTTTATTTAAGTTTTTATTTCATTTTATGTTCTTGCAAAACTTGATTGTTGTCTCTTGATAATTTATTATACCCTAGAATCATGAAAATATAAATAGTTGTCGAATAAAATTCAATATTTTGGATACCAAAATGTAAACAAAGCCTTTGTTTACATACGGACTGTACCGCATCTTTAAAGCTTTAAACAATACAGACATACTATAATCTTAGTTGGGGATCTAAACTGCGACGTTAACAAACTAGTTCCTGATTCACAAACTCACAAACTGCAAACTTTATGCTCTTTGTATCAATTAACTCAAGTCATTAATGAACCTACGAGAATTACGGAGACAACATCCACACTGATAGACTTGATACTTACAAATAAACCTGAATATATTTCGACTGGTGGTGTTTTACACCTTGGTATATCCGATCATAGCTTAGTCTATGCTGTAAGAAAACTTGAATTACCTAAATCTAGACCAACTATAAAAGAAGTCCGCGATTTCAAACACTCTTCTGAATCGCAATTCCGCGCTGATTTACTGCAGGTACCCTGGGATACAATTTGCTACGATGATCCTAATACATGCTGGATTCTATGGAAATCATTTTTTTACGAAATTTTAAATAAGCATGCACCTGTACGCCAAAGAAGAACTAAGGCTAACTCGGTCCCATGGATTACACCTGCTATTAAACAACTAATGAGGAATAGAGATTACCATAAAAAGAAAGCGATAAATATCACTGGGATAAATACAAATCCTTACGGAACAGAGTAAATAAGCAAATGCGTAAAAGCAAAATTGACTTTTATCACAAAGAGATAGGGGACTGTACATATTCAAATGATTTCAAAAAAATTTGGTCCCTTATAAATTCCCTTACTGGAAGGAATAACAAATCTTCCGGTATTACAGAAATATCTGTGAATGACAACAGCATTACCGATTCTATATTAATCGCTGAAAAGTTTAATGAATATTTTGTTAACATTGACCCTAGCCTAGCTTCTGAAACTAGTGAAGAGCCTGAAGCTGGTGAAGAGCCTCTTACTCAACACACTACGAATAGCTACAATAATTCCAATCCCACAACAGATACGATATTCCATTTCCATCGTATTAATGTAGAAAACGTTTTTCTGGCATTAATGAACCTTAAGATAAACAAATCTACTGGCCTTGATAAAATTCCAGCCAATGTTCTCAGTCAGACTCTCTGCAGATATTATTGCCCCGTCATTAACATATATATTTAATTTATCACTTGACACTGGTATTTATGTGAATGACTGGAAACGAGCACGAGTAATTCCAATTTACAAATCTGAAGATCGACGGAAATGTGAAAATTATAGGCCAATTTCCATACTCCCCATTGTAAGTAAAGTTTTTGAGAGAGAGGTTTTTCGACAGCTTTATGGCTATCTTTCCAATAACTCACTACTTTCTAAATTCCAATCAGGGTTTAGACCTAAACACTCAACCCTGTCTGCGTTGATACAAATGTGTGATAATTTACTTAAAAACATGGATAGTGGTCAAATAAATTGTGTAGTCTTTCTTGATGTTAGAAAAGCCTTCGACTCCATAAATCATGAAATTCTGATTGATAAAATGCGTAATTTTTTCGGAGTAACAGGAAACCAACTAAGATGGTTCGAATCATACCTGAATAACAGGGTTCAACAATGTCTTATAAACGGACAACTATCGAGCCAAAAAAGATAATATGCGGAGATCCACAGGGGTCCATCCTTGGTCCTCTATTATTTTTATTATACATAAATGATATGCCTGACTCGTTAAGTCACTTAACTCCTTCACTCTATGCTGATGACACGGAAATTTATGCATCTTCTAATGACAGCGCCGACCTTGTCGACAAGGTAAATATTGATCTCGAAAACATACGCAAATGGATGATACACAATAAACTTCAAATCCACCCCAGTAAATCGAAACATATGTTCATTGGGTCTCCCTATAACCTTAAGAATAAAGTATCTGGTAATCCTATTTTAATTAATAATAAGCTAGTACCCAGGATTAATAAATATTCATGCCTTGGCGTGACTATGGACGAAAGGTTGTCTTGGGATAAACATATTGATTCAATCTGCTCTAAAGTTGGTGCCGGTATTGGTGCAATGAGACGTGTTAAACCTTTTGTACCACTGTCGACAACCAAAATGCTATATAATGCTATTATACAGCCTTATTTCGATTATTGCAGCTCGTTGTGGGATAATTGTGGAATTGGGCTCAAAGATAAGTTGCAAAAATACCAAAATCGTGCTGCAAGAGTAATTACTGGGGCAACTTACGATATTCGGTCATCTGAGTTACTCAATAATCTAAATTGGAAACCTCTAGAAGAAAGACGAAATTATCTTAAATCTATTTTCATCTATAAAGTTCTGAATGGCCACACCGCACCAAATCTTAAAGAAGCATTCCATTTTAATAATGAAAGACATAATACTTACAATCTTAGAAATACGGATACTGATTTAGCACCACCTATGCCGAAAAAAGAATTCGGCAAGAGGTGCTTCAGTTATAATGGTGCCTTGCATTGGAATAATCTTCCCCATGAGGCAAAAATTGCTGAATCTCTAAGCTCTTTCAAGTCGATATTGAAACAAAGAATGAGTTGAAATTTGCTTGTGTATAATCGCGCAGCCAAAATCAATTGTATTTATTTATTTTGTTATATTTTGTATTTCCTGTATATATTAGTTAACTTTTTGTAAATAGGTAATTTCACGCCCCTCATGGAAACCAGCCTTCCAACGGCTGTTGAGGCTAGCGTGGTCTAAATAAAGTTTTGTATGTATGTATACAGTACATTAGATCTTCCGTTTCATGTTCACTTGACATATATGTGCTAAGAGGTCAATTAACTACACATCAATTATGGTCAACATGTTGTAGCCCGTGGTCTTTGTGCTTTTGTAAAAGGAGTTATCTATAAATTAAAGATGCGAGGTGTTTTTGTAGCATCTGTATAAATCATAGAATAATTAATTTAAGAAGTTCCTCAGGTCGTAAACATTTGTCATTTGGTTATAGACTTGCTCACTTGCTTTGTAAGTGATTGCCACTTGACAGCATGATGTAAGGCTGTAACTAAGCCTGAACCTGAAATAATTTTTGCATCAAGGTAGCAGTTAATGAAACATTTGTGTCTGGATAAAAAGAAGTGGTGAATTTAAATACAGATGTTTCCTTGTCTGTTGCTATGTGAAACAATGTCAATGTTGTTTAAAGCAATAAGAGTCATTGTGGGTCAATACAAGGCTCATTTGCTAAAAATATACAAGCATTGATTCCATTTCCAAGCTATTATTCTATTGGAAATTAAATATAAAAGGAGATACAGTAGGATTGAAATAGCTACCAGTTTCAATCAAATAACTAGTTAATTTCTGTATCAAGCCTCCTGGGTGTTATTTTTTCCTAAACATCATATGAGGGGGCACTTGTTCTAAATATATGCAATACGTCTGGTTAGACCAAATAAAAATAATAGTTGGTTTCAGGTTTCACAGCCATGTTTTATATGGGTAGGTAGGTTGGAAAAACATTTTATTTTAAAAAATATTTTATCTCAAGTATGCAATAAATATAAGTTGATGCCAACAATGTTCAGTCTAAACGTTTAAATGTCAATAAAATGTTTATGGTCAGTCATATTTCTGACAGGTTGGTCGGAAACCTGAAATCAACTATTATTTTTATTTGGCCTTACCATTAAAAAATGTCCATATTCAGAGTTACCGTTGCAATATATTTTATTAAAACATTGATTTTAAGAATTTTAAGAATTAATTGAATGGGGGCTGCATGCTTAAAAGGGGGGGGGGCTTATTTATTTTTGTATCCAAAAGGGGGGGTATTAGAGAGGGACGTAAATGTGAGGGGGGCTAAATATAGAAATTACAGTACCTCAATTCCTTCCTCTCCCTTCCCAAACATGCTGCAGGAGAGGGGACAACTGCAGGGGTTGATGTATTGCATGTTATGTACCTGGTAACAGCGTTCTCACTTTTAAGGAAATTTCCTTAAACTGAGGAAATTTGAACCAGTTTAGGGAAATTTTTAAGGAAACGAATTTTTTAAGGAAATTTTAAGGAAATTCTTTGACATTCATAATATTTTACATAATCACTTACATTCGTAAAAGATTACATCCAAACAACACTTTATTTTGTATTTTTTTCCAGAAAAGCAAATCACTATCGTTATAACACATTTATTTCTCTTGGGACACGCGTGTCCTGCGCGTAAACAAAACAACATGAATTCAACAACATGAATTCAATTCAAATTTTTTGACCCCTAAAATGGTACACTGACCGAAATTTTTTTGGCGACGGGGGGGGAGGTCGCCAAAACAACATGAATTCAACGTCAAAGTCAACTGCCTTTTTCATGGGCGTACCGGGCGGGGGGGGCGGTAGCCCCCCCCCCAGTTTTTTGGGCAGTCGGGCAATATTGACTAAACAGTCGGGCAATTTTGGTTAATTAAAAAAATAAATGGGACAAATTCTGTAAATTTTGCGGAAAATTTTGTGAAATTTCCCAAAATTTTGTAGGTTCCGGACAATTATGGTATGTCCGGAAAAATTTTTTGACCCCTAAAATGGTACACTGACCGAAATTGTTTTGGCGACGGGGGGGGGAGGTCGCCAAAACAAATTCCGGAAAAAATTTTTTCGGTACTTGTCGGGCCAAATCCGGAAAAGTCGGGCAAATTTCTTGCCGCCCCCCTAAATTTTTCCTTCCGGTACGCCCATGGCCTTTTTATATTTCTAAAAACTTCTAAATCGAAAACAACAATATTTTGTGATTTCCCGCCAATTTTATTGCCACTTCCGGTTTTAAGGAAATTTTTTCAATTCTAAGGAAATTTCAGTGTAAATTTAAGGAAATGACTGTAGCTGGAAGTGAGAGCCCTGCCTGGTAATATGGAGTGATGAGCTAGTAAATATATCCTTGCCTATAATTAGTTGCTGATTAAATGTTCAAAGATATACATTGTGAAGTATGAAAAACAAATGGGAGATACCCACTGCAACAAACTTTCAACAAATATATATGGCCTTGTTCACTTCATTTCTTACTTTCGTATAATTACAAACACAATGTACTGTTATTTACTGTCGTTCCAATTGAAGTGTTCCTCAAATATTGATTCAATACATTACCTCGGGCTGACCAATTCATTTGATAGAAAATTGATCAACTTCCTGTTACTTTTAAATGAGCCAATTAGATTTCGTTTCAGAACCGATTGACCAATAGGAAACGCACAGGAAGTAAAAAGAAATTTGAATTCGTATGAATTGGTCAGCCCGAGGTAATGTATTGAATCAATATTTGAGGAACACTTCAATTGGAACGACAGTAAAGACTTTATATGTGCTCCTTGTATATATAATATAAAAAATGTGGTTATAATATTGTTAAAATATGTGATATATAATACTGTAAACCTCTGACTATAATCCCTGGGCTTATATACTTTTTAAGTGATTTTTGATGGGCTTATACAAGGGGGGGGTCTCATATATGGGGGCCTTATACATGGACAATCTTTTGTGTTATTACTAAACCGAGTCAGTCATAAACAGGAAAATAAACACTTATTAATAACACGCTTTGATTAACATAGTAAGCTATAAAGACAATGACAATGTTTTTTAAGGGAGTTAGGTAACATCGAGTTGGATTCGAGTTCGAGTTGGGCTTCGAGTTGGACTTCGAGTTGGACTTCGAGTTGGACTTCGAGTTGGACTTCGAGTTAAACTTCGAGTTAAACTTCGAGTTAGATATTTTTCTTTACTTTTCGGGAAAATGACAATTGTATTTCACCCAACCTTTTTTGCTGCGGAGCGAGCGAGCCTGAAGCAAATTTACACTTATTATATGGGGGAATTTTAGGCATGTTGTAAAACATGGACTGGACATTGGACTGGACTGGACTTGTAAACTATGGACTGGACTTGTAAACTATGGACTGGACTTGTAAACTATGGACTGGACTTGTAAAACATGGACTTGTAAAACATGGACTTGCAAAACATGGACTTGTAAAACATGGACTTATAAAACATGGACTTGTAAAACATGGACTTGTAAAACATGGACTTGTAAAACATGGACTTGTAAAACATGGACTTGTAAAACATGGACTTGTAAAACATGGACTTGTAAAACATGGACTTGTAAAACATGGACTTGTAAAACATGGACTTGTAAAACATGGACTTGTAAAACATGGACTTGTAAAACATTTATTATCGATGATATGTTTCTCTATATCAGTACATCTATACTGAGAAACAGGTAAAAATACATAATTATTCTGCTGTGCTCGCTTGCCCCTTGCCCCCACCTTATTTTGAAATTTAGGCCACTGAAATGGCCGCAAATACTTCTAAATTTAACGGTTATCGGAAAATAGTAGATACAGTTTTTTGTGTCTAAGTTATTTAATTTTGGCCAAACATTTGTACTGAACACAACTAAAATATATCCGAAATTAAGAAACTAACTACGGAAAAATTATTGGTGGGGCTAAAGCCCAGCGAGCGACCCTGCTCCGCGGTCTCTGTTTCTATCATAGCTAGAATGTTGTAATTATGCTATAAATTCAGTTGCATAACATGAATTTCGGTAGACATAGTTCACTAACTAAACAAAACAAAGCGAAACTCATAAAAAATCATTTCATTACACTGGCCTGTAGGGCAAGTGTCTTAATCCCTCTTTTTCTGTTTTTTTCGTAGTCGAGAAATCGAGTTTGCGTTAGCTCATCGCAGGCTCAGGGTGCAGCGATTAAGCCAAAATGCCATCGAGTCCCTCGATTTCATGATTTAGTTAAATAGTAATAAGCTCGTATATATATGTACGTAACAGCTGACTCGTGCAATGCTTGTGGTACCTTTTTCGTTTATTAGCCCATACACTTGTACGCACGCGCACAATTCCGAACTCCAATGGCGGCTTTTCACAGAGTGATCAAACTATATTTTACACAGTTTCGTTGAATTTTCAAAGAATTGTGCCTGTTTCCTATGGATTTTACGTTGTGTCGTACTCTGGACTTTCTTGCGTGTTGAATTAATGTGTTTTTCTTTGTGTAACGACTCGAAAACCACAAAATTTGGACCCAGCGAATTTATACAACATATAGAAGGATATTTAAACAAGGATTAAAGGTTTCACTTTTTAATAAACAACTATAAATATAATGGTTTTGTTTGTGGAAACACCACGTAAATATATTTATTACTGCAAAGCTTTCGATCCGTTAGCCCGGATCTTCATCAATGCTAATAATATGTGATTTGTTTAATTCACACGCTCTTTTTATATACAAAAGTGTCGTGATCTGTTGGCTCTATAAATATACGTCGTGGACTCATAACATCCGTTGTGTACTTGTGTTAATTTTTGCATCGCACTCTGGACTTTCTTGCCTGTTGAATTAATGTTTTTCTTTTTGTATTAAATTAAACGACTCGAAAACCCCAATATTTCATAAATTTGTACCCAGCGAATTTATATAATATATTGGAATATAAACAAGGACAAACTCTCCTAATTCCTTACGACAGTTTTAGTCAAATGTCGACAATATACCTTTAAATACATGTATTGAAATCCGCGCAGTAGTAGAATTAAGAGAATTCGCGTAGCGCTGGGTGCAGAAATTTTAGTACTGCGCAAAATATAATCCGGGCGAAAAGCTTTGTGGTAGCCATACTAAAGATAAGCGTGCGTTCAAAATACCAACAAGAACTAGAACCATTATTGTATGGTTCTCATCTGCTAAACTTGCCACAAGTCGACCTCGAAGAAACGCATTTCGTTCGAGGTCGACTTGTGGGAAGTCTACTCATTTGCCTAATGTCCCTAATACAATAACATTAGTTCGACGCGATTTTATTAATACAAGTATGGTATCATATTTCATAATATAACAAACAATGTAAACTAGCCATACATTTTGCCGAACATAACTTCGGCCCCTTTGGACATATCTTTTTCGTAATAATATTATTGGAACCAGAATCGAAAACACTATTTATAGTGTTATTTCAAGCTTGTGTCTTGAGATTTTCATCTTTTATTTCGGTATTTACAGAATATTTATATTTTTAGCGCGGCCCATGGAACGCACATCAAAACAACGCACTGTGCATCGATCGAGCTATAAACGTGCGTGCGAGTAAAAATCTGATATTTTGAAAAATTCAAAATAAATATTCCTACTCTGTGCCGTATTCAAACGAAACTTTGTACATGAAAGCGCTTAAATACAAGATGTATTTTACTCACATTGACTCTGAGCAAATTCTGAAGAGTTACTAAAGAATACTAAAGCAGGGTGCATTGCCTATTAATGGGTTAATAAAAGCATTGGCAGAAGTGTTTGTTAACCCATTTACTGACAGTACTCTGCCACTAACAAGTAAAATCGTCTGGCGTTACACAGTGTAAATTGCTCTGGCGTTAGCCAGAGTTTAATACTAAAGTAGTGTGCATTGGCAGCTAATAGGTTAAATTTATATTCACTTTTGACCCAATGGCTTCATTTTCATGTTCGCCATTTACTCGTATTCCGTGCACACAATTTAAGAATGAGTTTGTGAACGGGCTTAAATGATGAACGAGAAACAAATTTGTGCAGGAAACATTGGAGATATAACCGAGAATTGTCTAGAAGTATAAATTCAAGTATTGCATTCAGTTCATATGCCAAAAAAGGCAGCACTTTCCTTGCGATAGTAACTCCTAGTTATGAATTTGCACCATGACTCCCGAAAAGGTCTTTCATTTTTTTAAAAAGTCCATAAAATTTGCTTGCGGTTTAAGATTTGTATTCCTGCCTTTTGCACCATAGCACATATGTCGTTATTTTCAGGCCAGTGTGAACGCCTGAGCAGGCGTCTTGTTGTCCATTAGTCAGTGATTTTAACTTTAATTCAGGCTTTTCCATTGCAAACTTACTTTTAAAAATAAAAGTTACACTAAAGAGAATAAAATAAAATAAATAGAGAATAATATATGGGTGCGAGGAAATACCAGATTTATTTCGAGTGTTGAACATGATATCTCACGAGTGAGCGCAGCGAACGAGTGAGATATCATGTTCAACACGAGAAGTAAATCTGGTATTTCCAAGCACCCATGTATTATTCTGTTTATTATAAAAAGGACAGTCTTTGAAAAGCGATAATTTTTACAGAAAAGCGATAATTGAAAAGCGATAATTTTCACATGTGAGATTATCACTTTTATCAGTGCCGGCTCGAAATCTCTGTAAAGCACTATACTTTATATAATAAAGTATAATAATTCAAGTTCCATTCATTCAATGGAAAGAATGTTCCATGTTTGATGTCCCTTGGGATTCGAACTCGCAAGGAAAGAAACATATATTGTCGGTCAAATCTTCATTCCGCAGCTCTAGGACATGCTTTTCGGTTAAACATTGTCGGTTAAATCTTTGATTCAGGCTGAAGGACACGCTTTTCCTGATGAGTAAACTGATATTAGTTAATCCTTTTGTACATAAACACATTATTGTGTGCCGTTTTATGCTAGTTTCTGACATTTTGAAAAACG